TAGATAAAATATGAATAAAATATACATAAAATACTTTTCACACTTTTTTCATTTACTTTTTAAATTTCTATTCAAATTTACGAACCAAATACAACCTTAGCACCATGAAACATAGTATCATGTTGAGAAAGATTAATTTTTAAGAACGTTCCAGCGAATGAATCTGATTGAAAAGAAAAAAAAAAAAAAAAAAAAAAAATTTCTAGTTAGAGATCTTAAAGACTGCATATGATTGTATATTTAGGGATTGTTTGGGATGGTCTAAATAAGTGTACTTTTTGACTTTTTATGAAATATGGGTTAGGTTGGAAGTGATGTGTTAGAGAGGTGATATGACTTAAATAAGATGATGTGACTTAAATAGAATAGTGACTTTTTGACTTTTTAACTTTTTTAAAACTTGCCAAACTTAGCCTTAGAATACATTGGTCATAAAACTAGATATAGAAGGATTTTAGTCTTTAAAATATGTGTTTTTTTTTGTAACTTTAGGCCTTGTTTGGGAACAGGTTTTTTTAGTAACTTTATGACTTTTTGACTAAAATGTAATGTAAAAAAAACTAGTATGTTTTGGATGAATTTTTGACTTTTTACGAAAAGATGTGCAAAAAGTAGAGAGAAAAGAGAATCTTTGACTTTTTGGTATGGATTGTTGGCTTTTTGATTTTTTTTAGTAACTTTTTGATTTTTTGACTAAAATAACCGCTTGCCAAACGAGGCCTTAGTCATTTAAGTTTTAATTTTGTTAATTTGGTCTTTAAAGTTTTCAATTTCAATCAATTTAGTCCAATTCCAAACCAACAGTCTAAATTGTTAACAAAATTGCAATAAAATACACACATGATCCTTAAAGTATGTGTTTTGTGTTACTTTAATCTCTAAAGTTTTTAATTTTATCAATTTGACCCTAAAAACTTGATGAAAAAAATGAAACATAACGTTATTGAAGAGCAAAATTGTTAAAATTGATGCTTTATGGATCAAAATGACACAAAATACATATTTCAACGACTGTATGTGCATTTTATTACCATTTCATTAATGATTTAAATAATTGTTTAGAATTGGACCAATTTGACTAATATTGATAACTTTAAACACTAAAATGACAAAATTAAAAATTCAAAGATTAAAATGACAAAAAAATGCATATATGAGTGGCCAAGATTTATTTAAAAATGAGTCCTACTGATGAATTGTGTAAAATTTTATTCATTTTTCTATTTTGTATTCAATTTAGGTGTTCGTTGTAGAAATTATCGAATTTTCTTGCAATTTCTAAACCAGGAAAAACTCGTGGACGAGGTTTCCTAGAAATAACTTGTGAAGATAGGTTTTGTTTGGTTTAGTTTTGAGATTCTGTTTTTTAATTAATAATTAATAGTTTAGTTTTGAGATTCTGTTTTTTAATAGTTTAGTTTAAAAAAAATTAATAATTAATTCCACGAAAGTAATAATAAGGGAGCTTTTTTGATAAATCCTATTTCTAAGAGTTTTATTTCATCCAACACATATTCTTTTTGACTATTTCATTAGGTCCTATTTGAGGTAAGAAGACCAAAATACCCTTTTCATCTACTTATGTTCCACTTAGTCCACAATATTTCCTTATGTTTCAATAAGTCCTATGGGTGACATAATTACCAAAATACCCCTAATATGAATGTTCGCACCATCAATGTGAATGTTCCTATTTGAGGTAAGAAAACCAAAATACCATTTTCATCTACTTATGTTCCATTTAGTCCACATTATTTTCTTATGTTTCAATAAGTCCTATGGGTGACATAATTATCAAAATATCTCTAATGTGAATGTTCACATCTTATGGGTGACATAATTATCAAAATACCCCTAATGTGAATGTTCACATCGTCAATGTGAATGTTCGCACTATCAATGTAAATGTTCACACCGTCAATGTGATTGTTCATATCGTCAATGTGTAGGGGCTCGGCCCAGCCGGGGCCGGGGCCAACCCATGTAAAGCCTCGTGGGTGCTTGCCAAAATTCGGGTCGGGCCGGACCGGCCCACGAGCCAAAAAATTAGGCCTAGGCCCTAGCCCTGGCACAAAGGTATTCAGGCTTTGGGTGTCCCGGTGGGTCGAGCTAAGGGGCTTGGGCCTAGACTTGGGCTTGGGTCGGGCTTGGGTGAGCCTCGTTATTTTTTTTAATTCTTTTTAATTTTTTCTCCCAAAATTTTATTATTTTTCATAAAAAAGACACTGGGCCTCTGGCGGGCCGAGCCTTAAATGGGCCTTATGCGGGCCGAGCTTGAAAGTGATAGCCCAGGTCCTAGCCCAAGTTCTCGGGCTGGGCTCGGGTCCTGGCCCAAACAAGCTTGCCCCAGGCCGCGGGAGGGCTTCGGGTGGCCCACGGGCTGCGGGCCAATTTTACACTCCTATCAATGTGAATATTAACATGTCAATGTGAATATTCACATTGTCAACAGGTCGAACCCGCTCCGGGTCGCGGGCCAATTTTACACTCCTATCAATGTTAATGTTAACATGATAATGTGAATATTCACATTGTAAACGGGCCGGGCTCGCGGGTGGATTTCGGGTCGCCTACGGGCAGCAGGTCAATTTTACACTCCTATCAACGTGAATGTTAATATGTTAATGTGAATATTCACATTGTCAACGGGTCGGGCCGGGCCCGTCCCGGGCAGCCCACGGGCCGCGGGGGGGTTTCGGGCCGCCCACGGACTGCTGGCCAATTTTACACTTCTATCAATGTGAATGTTAACATGTCAATGTAAATATTTCACATTGTCAACAAACCGGGCCCGACCCAACCCAGGGGGGAGCTTCAGACCACCCACGGGCCACGGGCCAATTTTACATTCTTATCAATGTAAATGTTAAAATATGAATATTTACAGCCCGCCCCGCCCCGGGCAACGGGCGGGCTTCGGGCCATCCACGGGTCGCGGGCCAATTTTACACTCCTATCAATGTGAATGTTAACATGTTAATGTGAATATTTATATTGTAAACGGGCCGGGCCGGACCTGCTGGCGAGTTTCGGGCTGCCCACAGGCTGCGAGCCAATTTTACACTCCTATCAATGTGAATGTTAATATGTTAATGTAAATATTCACATTGTAAACGGACTGGGCCCACGGGCGGGTTTCAGGCCGCGGGTCAATTTTACACTCCTATCAACGTGAATGTTAATATGTTAATGTGAATATTCACATTGTCAATGGGCCGGGCCGGGCCCTTCCCGGGCAACCCACGGGCCGCGGGCCAATTTTACACTTTCTATCAATGTGAATGTTAACACGTCAATGTGAATATTCCCATTGTCAACGGACCGGGCTCGCCCCAGCTCGAGGGCGAGTTTCGGACTGCCCACGGGCCACGGGCCAATTTTACATTCTTACCAATGTGAATGTTAAAATATGAATATTTACAGCCCGCCCCGCCCCGCCTCGCCCCGGCCTACCCGAATCAGGATCCTCTCATTGACTTCTCTCATTGACTTCCTACTTACTGGGCCATTGGGCCTACTTTTAAGCCCAATTTCGATGATCCGAATCGTTCACATTTTAATAATTGTTGAGTATATCATACCTGTAAAAAATCAAGTTGATCGGATATCAAAAAGCATATGTTTGGAAAACTGTTTATTAAATTTTTTAAAAAATAAT